TACACAGATCATAGGGCATCTAAAAGTATATATATAATCTCTGAGAACTCCAAAATTACTAACATTAGAGCATTCTGATGTTTTGCCATTTTATTTTAACTACAAAATTAAAATGTGAAATCTGTTAACTTCATATGAGTGACATTTATGTAATCCAATATTCCCTAGTATGTTCTTACTGGTGGTAGCATCCACCAGAAAAATGAGACATAGACTACTATTTATTTTAATAACTTTACTAACACTGAATGTAGTCCTGTGATATTTTATTCTTTCTACAAGTGGAACAGATCATATTATTCTAATTGGTTTTTTTCTCCTGTTTTGTACTCTTTGTTTCTCCTTCTGCCTAGTGACAATTCCTGTACCCAAACTTCAGCATTGTAAAGAGAAGGTATTATTGTTTTCTTTTCTCTAGGGAAAATAAAGACAAATATATTTGTCCTCTTAGTAGCAGTATCTTTCATTAGAGGTTACATTTTAAGCATATGATTAAAGCCATGATTTCAACTGAACTTTTAAACTTTGTTCAAAACAAAGGCTTATGTTCTGAAAAACACCTACACTGTGCCAATACTTCATTGAAGACCTCTTAATCCTACTGCTTTCATGCTATTGCTATGCTTCTACCACCAATATATGCCTCATTAATTTGACAGATACATGTTATTTTACCCAGAAAAATGTACCATGATGGGATAAAGTGCAGTTACTGTGAACTGTATCTTGCAAGATCTTATGAGCATTCTTTAGATAATCTTAAAACTTTTTGCCACCTCCTGCTTAGCAATTTTATCTCAGCTGTCTGTCATTCCTGTTTGATGAAGTTCATGTTATTTCTCTGCTGTCAAGTGCTAGCTTCAAGGTAGGAAGCATAAATGTAAAACTACTGCAGTGTTTTCCACAGAAATGATGGAAGGGGAGAGGGAAAAGAAGTATCATTGCTCTCACTGTAGAAAAACCTGCCACAGACAAAGCAATGGGCAAGTGACAAAGGGAGGATAAATCCTCAAAGAGTGTATAAAGCTATGAGCTAGAATATGCTAGCTCAAATGGGGTTTGGGGGTTTTTTTATTAATCTTTTGTTACAAAGACCTAAAAATTCTGACTTCTGCTGTACTAAAAATTTTGCATTAAGTGCCTTTAAAAATTGCAGCACATAAATTAGGGATGCATTGGCAGCTGGTGGTTCTTTCCAGAACACATGATTTTAGAATATTTTCTTAAACTCTTCCAGAGTGTAATTTCTTTAAAAGCTACATGACCTTTTGGATACTGTCATCCTACAACTCTTTAACAAAATAGATGATAAAAAATAGAACTCAGTATCAATTACCACAGAAACTAATAGAGTTTAAAAGTTCATGGAAACGCAAATAATTCATTGCTGAATTGAACAGCTGACTGAAAATTTCTGCTTGGAGCATTAGCAAGAAAAGGTAGAAGCAGCAGCTTGTTCCCTTTTCAGTTGTCTTTGGACTGCAACAAAAAGATGTAGAGCCTCATCAGTTCATACAGGAATCAGAGTTCCCAAGCACAGGTTCAATTTAACGTATTCAGATTTCAGAACATCAACTCCAGTATCAGAGTTGCTTACCCAAAACTTAGGGGTTTAATATAACTGTTCTGGGTTTTGAGGCTATTGATAAAACTGGTAAAATTTTAACACAGATGCAACTCAAGTAACTTGAGTTGGAGAGGCACCCATCTTTGGAAATGAATAGTCTCTATGGATTCATCACATCATCAATTACAGTGCAATATTAAGTCACTTCCAACAGTGCATGTATATAGCATGCATTTTGGTCAATACACAAGTCAAGTCATCTTTTGTAATTTTAAAGGGATGTGTTTTATCTCATATGAGAGACTGTTTCTTGGGAGCTAAAGAAATTAAAATTAGCAGTTATTATTTTCAGTATTTTTAAAACACTGGAGGACACTAGTTCTAATCTCCTGAATACAAAGAAAGAGTTCATAACTGAAGTCTGTCTTTTGATGGAAATTTGAAATGAACTACATCAGCTGGTATACTGATTTTTCTAATCTATTCTGAATAGCCAGAATATAATTTTCTATATCTTTGCATTAAATTTGTAATATTTTGTTGCATAATGATATGAGTTTTATGTCATATTGTAAAATGTAGTCTAACCACTGCAGTATAAAAAGGGTTTGCTTGCAGACACCATCTTCCAGCCTCCATTCAGTTAGCAACACTGCCTTTCAAAGACAATAATAATGTCATAAAGGCATTTTGATTTTACATCTACTCCAGCATTTTTGTTATCTTTTTGCTCTCTGGTAGATACTGGCTATGCTGACAATACTGCAGTTGAGTTGCATCACCTTAGTGTCAGATGTGGACATACTAGATCATAAAAGAAGAGGTTTTGACATTATTCTTACAAAAATTTAATTGGACAATAGGCTCAAACATGGTGTTGGGGAGCTAGGGACCCACATTTCACAGAGCATAGGGCATGTAACTCACACACACACTTTCACTTTTTTTCACTTTCAGGGTTGGAACCATCAGATAATTTTTTCAGCCATCTTGTGTGTGAAAAAGTAAAATAATTCAGATTTTCTGATTAAGACTAGTATGCTTTTTTTTTTTTTTGTCAAAAATATCCAGGCATTTCTTTATCAGATTTATTCAGAGAAACTTGCTTTGGCCCCTCAAAGAAAACAGTGACAGAATATACATATCTCCCTAGGTATCAAGTATGAACTCACCACCCTAGAGTCCCTTACCAGTCAAAGGAAAGACAGTCCTGTCCTGAGGGAATTAATTTCATTATAAAATAGATGTCAAAAATAAATCATAAGAATCACTCAAGATGTTCTGCTTTAAGACATGTAAAGTTAGCAAGTGAAATCCCACCAAAATCTACAGAGCCCAAACTTGACACATTAGTAAAGGAAATGCTTTCAGAAACGATGTAGTTTTTATAGACTTTTTCCTGCTTTCTTTCTGCTTCCTTCTTTTTCAAAAACTAGATGTGAGAAAGAGAATGCTAGTTAACACTTTTATGAGCTACACAGTATTTAAATGAAACAAATTATTTTCTGTAATCCCTGGATAGAAATAAGAAGGTAATTGATACTAAAACTCAGTCAACTTGTCCAAAAATTCAAATACATTCCTTTACCTTCTTTGTTTCTTTGGTGCCGGATGCCACAATAAGGAAGAATGTGAGTAAATGCCTCTCTCAGAGGAAAAAATGCTAACATCAACAGTATGTATATGTCAATAACCATTTGTAAAGAAAGAAAATATAGGGACCTCTAATCTCATCTAATCATCGTTCTGAGCAACAGTTTAATTTTTTCTCCTCTGTGTTCATAACATTTCTGATATTCACTTATCACATATGTTGTCAAATAACTATTTTTTTTCTGGCAACTGACAATTTAAAAGTATATTACAGGAAAGAGAGTCTCATTGGTTTCTATAAATTCATAAGGGCTATGAACAAGTAGGACAGTTTTAAAAGTAGATTCATGGATAATTATCATAAGCTCTAACACTCACAGTTACTTTATAGGATATTTTCGTGACAAAGTAAGTACAGAGATTGGTATAATAGTTGCATAATTTACTATTTCCCTCTTAAAAACATTAGATAAATTCTTTCTGTATTTTATGGAAACTAGTGTAGAATTGTAAGTGTTACTCAGAAAGCAAACCATGTAATAACATTGCAATACCAAAATTCAAGTTTGGAAACATAAATGTTGAAAGCAACCATAATTATAGTCTTATCAAAGTGTTATCAGATAAAATTTAGGTGCCTCTCTCTATTGTTATAAGCAAAAAAGTATACTGATTTAGGCAGCAAGAACTATTAATAGACTACACTGAACCAAAGATGGCAAGAGAAAAAAACCCAGCTGCCTCAATTTTCAGGATACCGAGTAAGACAAGAAAGGCTCTATATAGCAACAGCATTTTAAGGATGAATAAATAGCCACAAAGTTCGCTGGTTCTGCATGGAAGCTTGCAGATGGTGGATGAATTCATGTCTGTCACGTTTTCATAATACAATGACTTTTACATATTGCTGCCAGATGGAACATAGTTTTGCATCTTGATTATAAATCTCCAAGAAATACAACTTCCTTCAATATGTTCCCTGTATTTGAAACAAAAGCAAATTCAGAGACAGATTTGGGAAGCCAAAGCAGATTTAAGAAAATCTGAGAGAATATAAATTAAATCCTCAAGGGCTTCCTTGTTATAACTCAATTCAAAATAATGGAGTTAACCATGTGTTCTGTACATTTTAAGGAAAAACTCTAAAGGTATACAGACTTCTACAGGGAAAACTGCATATTCACTATCAAATGCAAAATACCTCCCAGGAAGGTCCAGACAATCTTTCAACCAGTCTTAATAGTAGTTTGGCAAAACTTTTGCATAACACTCTTCCTGCTTCAACAAAAAGAGATATCTATCCCACAAGGTCAGATCATAAAGCACAGTGCATAAAGCTTAAATGCATTTAATCATTGCTGATAATGAATATCTGTATCTATATCACAGAAGCGCCTTGCCATTCTCCTTATGTTAAATGATACCTAAACACACATAAAATCTAATTCAGATCTGTTATACCGGTCTTTATATAGATTTGATTTCTCAAACTATGAAAAAGGTACAGAATTTTTTCCTTTATATGTGTTCACCCGTCACACCTGGCTTCCTCCTGTATGTCTGGTCTTTGTTTCTAATCCTAGATGGTACTGCTAAGAAGTGAATAACTCTGATAGCAGTGGAGTGAACTATGTGACCGTAGGGAAGAATATTTTCCCATTCAATGATTTCTCACAATGATTTCTCTCTGATTTGATGACAAACTTGAGTTGACTTCTCTCAGACAGCCTCAAGCATTGTTTATATGCAGATAATTCTGTGTGTGAACCCATTAGGCTTTTATGACAGTAATAATCAAATATGATTGGAAACCTTGTGGCTTACTTGGATCCATACTTACATTGTGCTTTGTGAGGTTGGAAATGTTACTTGCTATTGCTTGTAGCCAGTCAATAGAGTCTTCAGCGGAGAGACACTGAATTATTCCACTGCAAACCCCATCCACAGCAATTACTTGGAATGCATTTTGCCTATAGACATATCATAACAGATCAGGTCAGAAGAAAATTTCATCTGTTCTAGCATATCATCCTAACAATACTTGTAGAAATGCTTTTCTTTCAACTGCAACGAAGGTCGGCCACTGAACACTGATATAATGCTGTTTTTCCTGTTTTAAAAATACCTGACATATTAAAAAGATCATGCTAAAAGGTCAATTCTGACTATATTAAGCTTCCATAAGGCTATAAAAAAATTCCAGAGACTAACTCCACAGAACTTTGACCAATAGACTGTATGACTTCAGAAGCTAAACAAGCGAAAAATCTGATGCATACCAAATACTTAATACTTTAATACAGTAGATCAAAAAGAAGAAAAGTGTGCATTGGAAATTGTAGACACCATTTGTGAATATCAGTGGATGCCAATACATTTGTCTCAACATCTTTGTTTCATTTTTCTAATACATGCTTTAAAGACAGTAAGATTCCTGTCTGGACATCCCTTGTTGGCTGCTCTCGTTTACAGAATTTTGATCCTCTTCTAAACTACTGATTGAGAGGTTGGAAAACTCAAAGTTGATCAGGTAGCATTAATGATTTTTCCAGTTGCATTTCTGAATCAAGGATCATTACCAAAACACACTGGAATGTCAAGAGACATCTAATGACAAAAGCAGTGTACACCTGGGTGCCTCTAACCCAGCACCAATCTGGGCACTTATACAATACCTGTCCTGTTTTATACACTGACTTTCCACTGCCAGGCACTGAGCAATTACAGAACAAGAGAAATTTTTCAGATGCTAAAGCAGTAGCAGACCAAATTTCTTCAGTAAATAGCCTTCTTGGCTAAAAGCCCTTGGAAGGTTCACAGGCCTCTGGCTTCAGAACCAAAAAAAAACTCAATATTAATCCATATCCCACGAAAAGAGATTACTAAACATACAGAGAATACCAAATTCCACTGCTGACATTCTGTAACAAACCCAAATGTTGATGATCAATTCATGGTTTAAGTACATCATTCATATTCTTTGAGAATGGCTCAAGCAAAGGATGTGTTATCTTCAAGGTAAAACTGAGTGTCACTGATGAAAGTTTCTGACATCTGAAGACATATCAAAGTTGTTTGTTTGGAGTTTTTTACCTCTTGAAATTTTATCCTAGTAGTATGGAATGTGAGGCTAATATCTGTCTCTACCATAATGGTCTTTGCTGCATCCGTGTCAAGTACAGGCTCTTTCTTCAGTCAGGAGAAGCAATAAAAATGAACTAGAGCATGCCTTTGCTTTGAGAGTCCCACCATGAGAACCAGCTTTTATAGGGGTATAAATCCTAACACAATCATGCAGGAATCAGCTAACTTATCGGTTTAGTTGTCTTTTCACACAAGTAGTGACTTTTGTTTAAATTCCCAAATATACTGGTAAAGTTTTGAGGAAGATTTATTTAAAGAACCTTCAAGTAATGTTGCTATCATTTATTTATTCTATGCTTTATTTTAATTAGCTATAAATATAGATATTTATTTTTTCCAGAATAAATTTCTAAATCCTTACATGAAGAACATAGCATGATGCACAAAATTGTTGATCATCTCATTCATGAAAAGTAGCATTACTTTCAGGACTCACCTTGTTCTCAGTGTATCGTAAATCAAAGCAGAAATCCAAGGAGTCTATTAATGTGTGACACGAACACAAGCACAGAAAAGCCAGTATGTTCCAGATTCAGTCCTGATGCACAAATTTCCTTTACACTACAGACACTGAATCTGATGCATTCAAGGCATCAGTCTGTTCCTACTGTTGCTAGGAATTTGATCTGTGCAGATATAAAACCACTAATCCACAATATTCTTACCCAAGAATCAATAAGCACAGACAGTAGGATACATGGTTACCTAATAAATTACTTCTGAAAGGGTCTTGGGAGTAGATATCCTTAGCCTTAAATTATTGCAATAGTATATTTTGAATGACTCTACCAGCCCAAGTCCATAATACCATGCATGCAAACCTGAAAATATACTGTATTAAATATGTTTTGTACTAAATGGAACAAACAGTAGATTAATCACTTTATAATACGTACACACACAAAAAAAAGTGGAGATCAGATGAAGACTTTTTCAACTTTCCCAAATTTTTACACATTTCAGGTTCTGTGCCTTCTGGAACTCAAAAGTTATATTTGAAATGAATAAGCTTTCCAATTTTTAACCTGAATGTCTTTTAGAATTTTGTATGAATACCCTCCAGAATTCATGTGTCTCAAGCATCCCACTGGAAAAGCTAGAATATGATTATGAGGTTCAATATTATATGTGATAATGGTACATTTCCATGCCAGCCTTTTCAAACTCTGAAATATATAAAGCCTTACATAGTGAAAACAGCTTTGTAAATACTAACTACGAAATATGTAATGAATTAGCTTCCAGTTCATGTTGCTTCCTTATATTATTGTCAATATCCTTACTTTAATGTCACTGTTTACAGCAGCATCTTTTAAAAAGTATTACCTTTCTCTTATAACCAATTCTGAGAGGTATCACATTTAAAAATGTTTACAGTAATTTAAAACAGTCTTGTAAACTGTTTTGCTAGCAAAATACAATGTTGGTTCTATGCTTTAAGAAAAATGTACTACCTCTCTCATATTTATCCTGCATTTTTGTTTAAGTACTCTTACTTCCTAACGTTCGTTAGACAGCATAGAAAGACAGAAGGAGAAAATTATCAGAGTAGTTATTCAAGGTTTAAGTATGAGTTCAGGTATAATGTTTTGTATTAATACACTTTTAAATTTATTTTCTAGAAATTTAAATTTCAGGAATATCATTACTACTTAAGAAACTTTCTCTGCAATGTACAAGTTCTATTACGTGCACTTTAAGCTTGTGTTTTATTGATGCAGAAGACTGAATTTTAAAACCTTTCATCTATGAACAGCTGAATATGTGCTCATTTTCCACATGAGTAATTCTATTCAATTCAATATCTTATCTGAAGTATACAGTAGAATGGATCTCAGATTTGACTATTATGATTTTGGGCCCTTTATGCTTCATTGTTAAACACCGAGCTGAAGGCTTTCGCAGAATTTAATAAAAACCGTGCTTCCCCTGTGATGACTATATTCTGTTCCATTTCAGTTCAGCCAATAAGCCATTGTAGCTTTTGGTTTACACCTTGACTCCCTGGGCCAGCCATTGTTCCTCAATAGAACAAGGAGCATGCAGACAAGTAAATATGATTCTGCTTTTACCAGTCAAAAGCTGCAGGCTGTTTTTAGCTTCACAAGGATCTACTGGTGAAACATATACTGCCTAACTTGCTTTAATTTCAGCTCTGTGAATAGGAAAAATGGCCGTCAGACCTAAGCAGTGTAATTCTAAGAAACAAAGCCCTTAGAAATGACGTGGTGAGAGGTTTTTGTGCAACTTTCAAGTGTTTATTGAGTATCCATGAGAAGGAAGCAGGTTGTGATAAGAAACACTAAAATTAACCCCACACAAACCCCAAACAGATGTTGAAGGCTTCTCTTTACACAGTTTCTAGGGGGGCTCATAAATCCACTCCTGTTGGTAGGTGGTGACAGTTGACTGTAGGATCCATAGAAACACTGGAAGGGTGAGCATAACAACAGAGAAAAGATACTGGGAAGGTTTTTCACAAAACAGCCTTTGCAGAAAAATTAACATAACTTTTCTGCATTAATTTTGTAATTTTACACGTTTGAATGGAGGAACAGGAAAATTGAAACTGCTGATGCCTGATGTGCCATCAGGATACAGCATAACACATTATTCTTCCCAGACTCACATATCCAAGATGGTAGACATGAAGACTATACAGAAAAGACAGTTTATTTCAATTAGTAAGACCTCAGAGCCACAAATGATAAATCCTTCGTGCTAATCTTAAGAGTTGTTATTTCTGATTGATTAGAAAAAGAAGTTACAGAGATACATGCCCTGCACCTGTACACAGCTGCCCTCCAGTTAATGACTTAGCACTGGAGCTCACAGAATATTTCAGTATGAGAACCTCATTCTTATAAATACAGATGACAAATGAATTCATAAAATATCAAGGTATTTAAAACTTTTAACAAACATGATCTTATTTATACATTTGCCTTATTGGATTTTGTAGCTACTTTCATTTCTATTTCATTGCATTATACTTGTAAAACAGTAATCATTCCAGAATATTGGTTGTCTTCCTTCCTAATTTCTCCTGATTTACTAGGATAATACTAAATTAAACAATGAAAAATTGTAAGTCTATAGGACTGTATTGCGTCTGACGGAGATAAATTTAATCTTCCTCACAGCAGCCCTCATAGTACTGTGCTTTGTATTGGCAACTAGAAAGGTATTGATTACACATCAGTGTGTTGGCTACTGTTGAGCAGTGTTCTCATGGTATTAGCACTGTCTCTCCAACATCCCCTCCTCATCAGTAGGCTGGGGATACAAGGTTGTGGGAGGGAAAATAGCCAGGACAGCTGACCCAAACTGACCAAAGGGATATATCATAACATATGACATCTGCTCAGCAATGAAAGCTACAAGAAAGGAAGAGGAGTAAGGGTATTCTTTAATTACGACACTTGTCTTCCAGAGTAACCGCTACAAGTACCAAAGCCCTACTTCCCAGGAACTGGCTGAACATCACCTGCTAATGGGAAGCAGAGAATAAACGTTTTGCTTTCTTTGCTTCCAAATGTGACCTTTGCTTTATTAAATGGCAAATGACTCATGAGGTTTTTTTCCATCTTGTCTTCTCCCCCCCTCATTCTGCTGAGGAGGGCAGTGATAGAGAAGCTTAATTGACACTTGGTATCCAGCCACGGTCAACCCACCACGACGATGCCATTAATTTAAACCTAACTATGAGCTTTGGACAGCTTTTCCAGTGATTGTAAGAGAGAATGGCAACGAAATTAAATGTTAACACATGCAAAATACAACATACAGGAAAAAATAACTTTAGCTATATGGAAAGAAAAAAAAACCCTACTGTAGCTATAAAAATGAAGGAGAGAATACAAGAGCTACTACAAACATTTATCTAAATACCATCACCTTAGTGCTCAGTGACAGTTACAAAGTAATAGGTTATTACAAAGTGTGAGATAAGAACTGACAAAAAAATACAGAACATCATTATGCCTTAACGTAAATCAGGGGGTGTCCTCCTTGCAGTCCTGATCACCTTGCCATTTAGGTGATATATTAGAATGATGAAAGAAACAGAGAACAACAGAGATAGTTAGAGCTACAGAAGAGTTTCCCAAAAGGAGATAACAGCTGTGATCCTTTAGGTTGGAAAACAGAAGACAGTCAGATGAAGTTATAAAAACATAAATCAAGATATTTCGTATTTCCCTCAATACAAGGGTCAGGGCCCACAGTCCACCCTCTTGCCCCCCACAGCAGACTGGTGGCCTGTGCATGAGGCCAGCTGTGCCATGGTGAGACTGTGGGATGTGGGATCAAGCTGCTGTGGAAGAGCTTGAGTGGGAGGCCTGTCCACCCCTACACTTGGGAGCTGCTTATCTTCTCAGGCTCTTGTTTGTGGTCCTTGTCTGAGTATGGCTCCAGCTATTCCTGTGCCTGGACATGTATCCCACTGATTTGGACCTAATCTGTAGTCTGACTTCCCAGCCTGACCTGAGCCCCACTTGACCATGATGGACTCCTCTGAAGACCATCCCTAAGCCTTTGTTCCTCCAGTGGGGGCAGTGGGTTGGGGTCCTTGTCTGCATGGACAATGCCACATCCAGCCTCACTGCTGTACTCTCTCCTGGTTCATCTTCCCTATGGGGCAGCCAACCCTCGCTGCCCCCAAACAAGATTATTTCACCCAATATAGTAATCAGATATATGTAACACAAACAGAAGGAAGTAGATTTTAGAAACATAATTACATTGTAGAGCTCAATGACATAGTGCATTGCAAAAATCAAAGACACAAAGAAAAGCAGATTAGAAAGAAGCTTTTGAGGACAGGCACATTAGCAGTTATTAAATATGATGACCTATGTGCAATGTCAAACTCTGAAAGGTGCTGACCATTAGGTGCAATAGGAAGACCACACATCTCCCCATATACTTGGTCCCGGCTGACATCAGAGCAGAAGATTAGCCAAGGTGGACCTTGACAGACCTTTATGAAAGTTCGTATGTTTCATGTCTCTAGCAGCTGTAGTGGAACTAATAATGGCATTTCTCTAACAAGACAACTCCCTGATGCATGTATCTGTCAACCAAGAAGTCTAGTTCCAACCTTCTGAACTTATTTACCTGCACAAATCTGATCCCGGAAGGTACTGGGAAAATCGTGAATGTAGAAGTGGAATTAATCGAAGATCACACCACCTTTTTTCCCACCTAAGTCCTGGGGATGCTGGCCATGAGGAACATGATAATGTATCCTGAAAAACATTGAAAAGTCCTTCTCAGTTTTGGACTTCATTATAAATACTCAGCAGATTTGGAAAAAAAGAGATAGACTTCAAAGACATTATATTCCATTTGGCATTGTTCCACTTTTTCCAAATCACTTGGTGGGAGAACTTTTTCTCCTAAATAAAAAGAAATCTATATAAACCTCAACAATAACATGCTTACAGGAAGTGTGAGGAAAAGTATTCTAAAAACCTGAGGAAAACAGACTGTATCCTTTTTTTGAAATGACTGGTTATTTACCAAGTAACCCATCATTAGACAGTTTTATATCTGCACCCTAAATAAAGGGGATCTCTAAATTATTCACCATACAACCATAATTCAGTTGTTCCCCATGGCCCTGTACACATATGACATCACCTCAAAACCTGGTAATTGTAAATGGAATTTAACATGAGATGAAAATTGTCAAAATTGTCAGAGCTACAAGCTTGCGATTAATATTTTAATTTTATCTACTTACACAAGACATTGGTTATATAAAAACTGAACTTTATCACGTCTATGAACATATCTACAAAGAATGAGTGTTTAAATACCTACAGTCTAATTTCACAAGTATTTTTACAGAGTAGGGATTTGCATGAGAAATGCCTATAAAAAGCAAAATTATCAACATCTATTTTTAAAAATACAAACCCTCTTTCTTTATAAAATGCTTCATAAAATAACACTATTGATATTATTGTTTTGGAAAAGTATGATTCTTCAAAGTGTCTTCTCATAGTTACAAAGGATTAGGAAAAGGCTGAGGTATTTGATGCCTTCTTTACCACAGTCTTTAATAGTAAGACCAGTCATTCGCCTGCTACCAAAATCCCTGAGCTGGAAGGCAGGGATGGGGATCAGAGTGGAGCTGGTATAGGTACTCATTGAGTCCCTTTCCATCATTTACCAGCAATCCTGGCTAACCAGAGAGGTCCCGGCTGACTGGGGGTTGGCAAATGTGATGCTGATCTACAAGAAGGGTCAGGAGCCGAGTCTAGGGAACTACAGGCCTGTCAGTCTGACTTTGGTTCCAGGAAAGGTCATGGAGCGGATCATCTCGTGAGCCATCACATGACAGATGCAAGACAATCAGGGGATCAGGTCCAGACATCATGAGTTTATAAAAGGTAGGTCCTGCTTGATCGACCTGACCTCCTTTTACGACCAAGTGACCTGCCAAGTGGATGGCCGTCAAATTGGATTTTAGTAAAGCTTTTGGCACTGTCTCCCACAGCATTCTGCTGAAGAAACTGGTTGCTCATGGCTTGGATGGGTGCAGAGTTTACTGGGTAAAAAACTGGATAGATGGCTGGGCCCAGAGAGTAGTGATGATAAATCCAGTTGATGGCCAGTCACGAGTGGTGTTCCCCAGTGCTTAGTATTTGGGCTAGTTCTGTTTAACATTTTTATCAGTGATCTGGAAGAGGGGATTGAGTGCACTTTCAGTCAGTTTGCAGAAAATTGGACAGGATTGTCAATCTTCTGGAGAGCAGGAATGTTCTGCAAAGGGATCTGGACCAAGGCCAATGGCATGAGGTTCAACGAGGTGAAGTGCCAGGTCTGCAGTTGGGTCACAATCACCGCAGGCAGCGTTGCAGGCTGGGGGAAGAGTGGCTGGAAAGCTGCCCAGCAGAAAAGGACCTGGGGTTGTTGGTCAACAGCCGTCTGAACATGAGCCAGCAGTGTGCCCAGGTGGCTAAGAAAGTCAATGCCATCCTGGCTTGGATCTGGAATAGTGTGTCCAGCAGGACTACAGCAGTGATCATTCCCCTGTACTCAGCAATGGTGAGGCCACACCTCAAATACTGTGTTCAGTTTTTGGTCTTTCACTACAAAAAAGACATTGAGGTGCTGGAGCATGTTCAGAGAAGGGCAACGGAGCTGGTGAAGGGTCTGGAGCACAAGTCTGATGAAGATTGGCTGAAGGAGCTGTGGTTGTTTAACCTGGAGAGAAGGAGGTTCTGGGGGGACCTTATTGCTCTCTACAACTACCTTAAAGAAGGTTGTAGCAAGGTGGAGGTCAGTCTCCTAGGTAACAAGTGACAACATATCAATAAAATTGTACCTGCCAGTCCTGTATAATTTACAATTTTTGTAATCTCAGACTTTATATATTTTATTACTGGTGTTGTCTATAAAATAAATATTACAAAAATTAAGTACACCTATTTTTCTAGAGTGTGACTTTTGTGTAAGATCTATGGAATTTTAAAGCTTTGCAAATTTGAACTTTACTTTTACATATATGTTCATATATATTTTATGTATATGAAACCAAATATCACTATGAATATCATGTTAGCTGAATGGTAGACTTTTCATAAGCAGTTCACTTATTTAAAACATAGACTAAATAAAAATAAATAAATGATTGGCTAGAAAGACTAAGCTAGGATGCTGTTTTGAACAATATTTTGAATTTTTAATGTTTTCTGTCTGCTTTTGGGAACCTTTCTTCACCTGTGATTAAGCTTGGGGAAAAAGCTGACATGTAGTAAAAGTTCAGATACAAACTGTAGGCCTAGATATGACTGCAGCAGAAATGTTAATCCTATATTTAGCCTGCATAACTAATAAGGAAACAGACTATGGTTGTAAGTCACAGAATCACAGAATTTCTGAGTTGGAAGGGACCCACTAGGATCATCAAAGTCCAGCTCCTGGCCCTGCACAGGACAGCCTCCATAAACCCACCACGTGCTTAAGAACATTGTCCAAATGTTTCTCGAACTCTGTCAGACTTGGTGCTGTGACCACTTCCCTGGGGATCCTGTTCCAGTGACCAAACAATGTCTGGGTGAAGAACCTTTTTCTAATATCTAACCTAAATCTGACACAACTTCAGGCCATTCCCTTGGGTCCTGTCACTGGTCACCAGAAAATTAAAAGATCAGTGCCTGCCCTTTTCTACCCCTCATGAGGAAGTTGTAGATTGCAATGAGGTCTCCCCTCAGTCTCCTCTTCTCCAGGCTGAACAGATCAAGTGACATCAGCTGCTCCTCATACGTCTTCCCCTCAAGGCTCTTCACCATCTTCGCAGCTCTCCTTTGGATGCTCTCTAGCTTTAGATCTTTGTTATACTGAGATGCCTCAAAATTGCATCCATATTCAAGATGAGGCTTCACCAGTGCAGAGTTGAGTGGGACAGTCACCTCCCTCGACCAGCTGGCAACACTTTGCCTGATGCCCCCCAGGACATGGTTGGCCCTCCTGGCTGCCAGGGCATTGCTGACTCATATTTAACTTGCCATCGACCAGGACACCCAGATCCATTTCCATGGCACTGCTCTCCAGCCTCTCGTTTCCCAGTCGATCTATATTCAGAGTTTCCTCCCCCTAGGTGCAGAATCCAGGTCTTGCCCTTTTTAAACTTCATATGATTGGTGATTGCCCAGTCTTCTAATTTGTCCAAGTCTCTCTGCAGGGCCTCTCTGCCTTCAAGGGAGTCAACAGCTCCTCCCAGTTTTGTATCGACTGTAAACTTGTTTAGTATCCCTTCCAATACTGCATCCAAGTCATTTATGATGATGTTGAAGTGCACTGGGCCTAAGGGGGAGCCCTGCAGAACCTCATTAATGACAGGTCACCAGCCTGATGTTACCCCATTCACTATAACTCATGAGCCAGTTGCTCACCCATCACATTATATGTATATTCAACAGTTATAATGCCTTTTATAGAATATCTTCAGGAAAAGGAAGAACTATGGCATAGGAGTTGTACAGAATTTAGTTCTCCTTTGGTTTTACAAAGCATTCTGTTCCCATGACAAGAAGACATCTGAGATAAGAACCACATCCTGGTCTTCAGTACAAAAATTTAATTTAGGGTGAATTACAGATTATAGATTCACGATATTTGATTAAATTATTTAAACTGAAAGAGAAAGATTTGGTTTCAATAAATTATTATCAGTTCAAATAGAAACTGCAGCTAATCTAGATCAGTTTTGACACCTGTAGAAACAGAATTCAAGAATGAAATTATGTTTTTTATGAGAAAAGCAAAGTTAGAATTGAAGTGAATAAATCAGTTTAGGATCTGCTGTCATAGTCTTTTTATATATATACATACCTATATAGATTGTTGAGACAAATCTGCTTTTGTTGTTGCTGCTTTAGTTACATATATTTTTACTGTTATTTGACATCAATTTTATTGGTGTTATCTTATTTTTATAAATTCCAGCTCCTAAAACTTGTATAATTCCTAGGGGCTTCCCAGATTACAGTCAGGTTTAAACCTGTGGTATTAATGTTTAAATGTCTGGGCTGCTATTTAAAACCCTTAATAGTAAAATATGAAAGTACAGTAAAACAAGCCAGAAATAAAAAATGACAAAGTCTACTCAACAAGGCTTACAGTTTTTTTAAACATTATGATGTATACTGGTCTATTTATACTGTGCTTTTTATATTTTTATCTACTACACAGACAAATACTCAGCAAAATCCCTTAAGAACTACATACAATAACGGAAATTTTTAATTTCTTGGCTAAGAAAATTGTTAAAAGTCCCTTGTTGCACTTCATAGGCATCTTTTAGTGAAAATCTGATTGAGTATCTGTAGCATTTTATCCTAGACACACTTTGCTCCATAACCCTATCACTCTTCAGTAAGATTTTAAGTGTATATTACTAGAAGTAAAACACTCTCACCTTAAAAATAGGTAAAAACATGTACCTAAATCATCTTTTGCCAAAAGCTTTAAATAATGTGTGCAGTATAAGTAATGGAAAAATATTCTGAAAAAGTTTTCTTCCTTTTTTATAAATAGATATATTGTCATTTTAAGAATTTTAATTCATATGTGGAGAAAATCATCTAGAAGAAAAAACTTTTGCAAAATCCCTACTGCCCCAGTAAAAATAGTAATCACATCTATCAAGGCACAATCTCAGCCTGTAATAATTTGTCTTAGTTTAATTCCCAGCCATAATATCTGGCAGCTCTTTTTTCCCCTCTATGGAACTGTCTATCTCCAATGCTAATTAGAGCTCCTCCCATGTTGCTGTCCTTTATTAGTACTTCCACTTAGCTGTTATAGTATAATTATTCTTCCATGTAATTCCATCAAGGAGATATAAGCACTTACCGTGTTGTTGGGGTGGTAGTTGAGATGCAAACCACTGTCACATAGCGGAGAGGATGTGCCACTGCTTTGGTCACTGGGGGCACCTAACAGAAATATGAATTCACAAAAAAATCTTCATTAATCTATGATGCTGTAATTCAAATTTCTGTATGCATGTATGCATTCTCCCCATCCCATCCTCCCCCTCCTCCCCCCCACCAAATGACTTTTATCATATAGAACATTCATTTACTTTCTCCATCAGTCAGTATCTGCCTTCTGGCTTAAGTTAAATTCCTTTGAAAGCTGAATGGAGGCACAAGAAAGCCTCCTGGTGTGCTTTGCTTAAAAAAAGTGAATAGTCTGTTTAGTAAGGAAAAAAAAAAGCAAAGGTTTTTGCAAATTTGACAATAAAAGGGAAGTGCATATTTTCTCTCTCTTTGCTTTTACTTGAAGAAACTTGAGTAACTTTGTTACTCTCAGTGGAGTTTGCAGTTCTAAATGTTCTTGTAACAGTTCAGGAGATTGCAGGTCTACACCTCAAAAGTAATGTGATAGGATCCATGCAATTGCACATTCCTGTGCATCACTCAGGATGCTCTGTGGTACCCTTTCATACAATGGAATACATTTTTAGTTAAGAATACAGTTTTGATATGTTTCTTGTCTCACTAGAATTTAATACATAGGAAAAAAAAAAGACAATATTTCCTTTGTATAAAATGCTATTTCATAATTTAGTTTATTTAATTTCTACTAACTTAAAATCAAAGGCTAAAAGTATTGAAATCAAAAATTTAGTGTTTTGTTGCTTAAAAATTAAGCAGTTCCTTTTACCCTCTTGGGAGAAAGAAGCAGAAGGAAAGCAATGGTGACAAAAGACGCAGGTTGACATATAAATATGCTTAGTATGCTGTGACTGTCTATAATTATGCATCTACACTTACAATTTAATATAATTACAGGAAGACAGCTGTCTCCATATCTCTCTCATGGGGCTAGTTGACTAAAACTCGGTTGGACTTAAACAAAATACTTATCATCCCAGAGCAATTTATTCTCAGGTAGACAGACACCTCCACCAAAGCCTCTGAATTTTAAACAGCAAAGTTAAGCCCTCTAAATATACACACACATCGCATGTTCACATTTGCAAGAAAAAAGTCTTTGAGATTAAAATACTATCTGATGCTTTCTGAAAACCTGATTTTAAATACTCCCCATCAGGATGTGAGCTACTGCGAACTAAAATAACTCTACTGTTTTACCTTCAACTTTGTTGATTCACACCATGCAAATGCCTGGTTATCTGTTTTTCAATCAAAGATAGTAATTTTTTGCTTGAAGTGAGTGTTAACAAAAGTCCTAGCAATAGAAGCATCTTATATTCAGGTAGTAATGCTGATTGTAAAAGATGGTGTCAATCAGCCTCATGCACAATAGTTTCAGAAGCTGCAAGCGTTCACGAGCATTGAACTGAGTTCTTTTTGGCCAAGTAATAAAGGCTTACATGCACAGTCTTCATTCAGTGGCAGTTTGAGAAAGGCAGGTGCTCTTTTCAGAAAGGACACAGTTAGGGTCACTTCTTCCCCCGCATTGCGAAGGACCTGAACCTGGAAGAGAAATACAGACAGATACCTTGAAATAAATGTATGACCAAAATGCATCAGCAAATGTAAGCACTGCCACGCAGCTTTCACATACCAGAATTTAACTTCTTAGTAAAGAAAGCAAGACATAAAGCTTTCTAAATGTTTTTCTGTTGTTTTTCTAGCCACACAGGTAGTTAAAAGGGCAAAAGGGGCATTGGCCTCCTATATTAGCACTTTGACCTGTGCCATTATACAGCTTGCTCTCTGGCACTATTTAGCTGTGTACCTCCTTCTTTCAGGTCATCCAGCCTAGTATGTATGCATTAGAAAAAAATATTTTCTCCCTGTAAAGTTGCCTTATAAATCCTCAACCAAAAGAACAGCAGTAGTTTCCACAGCTGTTACTGTAAGTCTTACTTACTATTATGAGTAAGTCTTTCTAACAGCCAGAGTTAAATTTAGCTGAAGAGGTCCAGCATGGATGAGACCTAATCTTCCTCACAGACACAGAGGAAAAGTATCTATTTTAAGCCTTGAATCTCAGATAAGCACAAGTTTGGGTTTTGCCAAAGGGCAGCTTGCATGTTGGACATAGGAATGTGCAAATCACCTATCCAGCTGTGAATACTTTTAGCTTTCCTGTACTTTCCCACAGTTACCCCTTTGGCTCTTGTTCATGCCTTTAGCTTCTGTGTGGTACAGCTGATAGACACCCCAAACATACAGCAGTGCAAGGGAACTCCAGGCACATCCCCAGAGTGGCACAAAGGAGGCACAAAAGCAACTAAGCAAAATCCTGTATGTAGCAGTGGAGGAGGAACATTTGAATCAGCTTATAATATGAGAGCCAAGAATCATCAAGTCGCACAGTTCTGTTTCAGAGAACAACTATTTCTTGTTCTGGCTCTGTAACTTCAAAACTCTTCAAGGGTTGATTTAATTTGGGCTTACAATGACAGAAGGTTGCACCATGCCTCTCTGTGCAGAGAGCTAGGTCATTGCAGTTGTGTTCAGAGGGCTGCTACACAGCCAGATATTAGACAAACATTTTAAACTAGCACATATCTACTCCCTTTCTGCTGTGTAGCTGGATAATACACAGGTAACCCTTCTGTCAAGCTGCTGCTTGTGCGAAAGCCTTGTAAATAATTTATGAAGGATTGCTATTCTTTAATTATGTCTATCAACAACCTACCCTACAGATTTAGTTACAAGCATGCATATAACTATACATAGGAATGTTTTCACCTAGAATCACTGCATTATTTTGTTAACTTAAAACAATTCTTAAAAAAAACGTTGATTTTGCCTTGAAATACAATACTTCCTACTCCATGCTGGCTGCCACAGAGAAGTAACAATACAATGACAGAATATTTGATTCAGTATCTGAAATTTTAGTATCTTTACTGTTTAAAATAACACAGTGGTTGTCAAGGCACATTTTGCAGTGTAGTATGTGTTTATATGAATGTGTGCAAATAAACACACATATATCACAACAAATATAATTAACTTATACTTCATGCCCAAAACAAAATCTGTAACACAGAATCATAGAATCATTTAGTCTGAAACATGAGCCTCTTTGATGAGCACTTCCCAATTTTGATACATTTTATATCTTAACATTCGCAAGTAGCACTTATTTCATAGAAAGATGATTTGCAATATGAAGAACAGCAGATCAAGACTATGAAGTCCTGAATTCCGTTGGAGAAACCGTAGTGTATCCTTAGCCTCCGAAGAACATCCTTCTCCTCTCTTATGTATCAGTCACACAGTTCAGAAAGTCAAGGCAAAAGCAGGAACTTACAGGTATTTATTGAAATGACAGATGTGGATAAACAAAGTGCAGGAAAATATTTCCTTTTACTCGGGAACAGAGAAAAAATAAGTAGAGAACTTACAGCATTACCAACTTTAGTTGGTAAAGTCACCTTTTAAGATATCTAAGAATAAGTGGATATCATCTGTGAAAGAGGCTGAGACAGTAACTGCCCTGAATCTTTCTTCTTCCAGGAGTAAAACGAGCCATGAGTCTCCATGATTTCACTTGATAACGTATTGCTCTGTAAAGCCTGTAAGATGCCATAAGTAGTTTACTGTGACCTTTTTCTCTAACCTCTCTCTCTCAAACCTCTTTATCTCATAGGATGAAAACTGTAAGCTGGAACACATTTCACTTGAAATCAGCAATACTGTGAAGTGTATCTGGGAATGTATGAAGCACATAATCTAGAAAGATTTTGACATGAAGAGTAAAGACTAAAGAGGGATAAAAGATTAAAAGAGAAAACTGCTAGGTAATGATTACAACAAAGAGCAGATGAATTATTGATCCCATTTCACTTACTTTCTAGTCATTATCAAAGCATAAGGTTAGTTGAAGAAAATGGAAATTTTAATTACTTTACTTTCTTTTTCTAGCTTTCAGTTGAAAGCTTTATTGTTATTTTATATTCTTTGTCCCTACTTTACATAAGAAATGAACAATTGTAGAACTATTTAAAATCAAATATGCCTTACAGGATTCATTTATTTGTGTCCTCATTCATCATGTACAGCATGTCACACTGCCATTCTTCTGTGCAGAAAGAGAATCAGGTAAAATGGGAAACCTGCTCTTACAGAGGAATTTTTTTAGTGGTACACCAGAACAGTTTATGTTCATGAGTGGAAAACTGATAAATTATGAAAAAAAAAAGGTAACCATCCAAAGTATTGTGACTAGTTGTTATGAGAAGTTATATTTATGAAAAAAACTCACTTGAAACACAGAGAGTCAGTTTGTCTGGAAGAGACAATACAATTAGGATTTCTAGAGCTTTATAAATATAAGTGGAATTCTACCAACAGTCAGACACACTGGCATACTAATTATTTTTTCTCTGTTTCTCATTACCAAACATCAGTTTAGCTCAAAAATTTACAGGGGACAATTATCAGGACAATTTTGAAAATTACAAGGAGAGTGCAAAAGGAAATGTGTTCCTTGTTTCATGTACATTAACAAAGAATGATTTTATCTGCACAGGTATCCATGTGACCCTGAAGAACTGGCAGTATATTCCATGAACTAAGTGGTAATGAGCTTTTACCACTGAAGTCATTTCATGAACTCATTGAAGAAACCAGTTGTCAATCATGATGTAATTTTTAGATAAAGAAATGGATAGATATGTGAACAGCCATCCTGCTCTCTTACTTGGAAGAAACCTCCCTCACATTTATTTTGTATAGATTGCCAATACCTTGTCAATCAAGCACTATCATTGACAACAAAAGTGTTAGTTATTTCTGGAAGTGATAATTCTAGAAATATTTCAAGGTTACTTTCAATCATAAGAGAGATATATACTATCTAAATCCTTTATACATTCTTTCAGAGTCATAGCAGAATTTCTGATTTATAAGGAAACCTTAGAGCTAGGTTGATCAGAGGAACTAATTTCAGATTTTTTTCCCCAGTACCAACATGTATTGTTAGAATGATAAAACTGACTCAAGACTAAAAAGCTAGGGACTACTTACCAGTTTCTGCAAATAATGAAGCTCTCTTAGGAATTTGCAGTAATTTAGAAAACTTTCAGAATTCTTCTCATTTTGCAAGGGTACTTCCATATTTTGATACCGTTATATTAAATTCCTTAAATTACTGATACGTTAGTCCACAAATGAGAAAAAAGTTGGGGGTTGCTTTTTGTTTTTCCCCACACAGGGGTAAGGTGTATTTAAAACAGCAAAAATAGAAAACCACGTCCTGAGAGGCATCAGGCAAAGCATCGCCAGCTGGTCAAGGGAGATGATTGTCCCACTGAGCTCTGCAATGGTGCAGCCTCACCTTGAATATTGTGTGCAGTTTTGGGCACCACAATATAAGATATTAAGCTGTTAGAGAGTGTCCAAAAGAGGGGCCAAAAGGACAGTGAAGGGTCTTGAAGAGGAAGCCATATGAGGAGTGGCTGAGGTCACTTGGTCTGTTCAGCCTGGAGAAGATCAGACTGAGGGGAGTCCTCATTGCAGTTTAAAACTTCCTTGTGAGGGGAAGAGGAGGGGCAGGCACTGATCTCTTCGTTCTCATGGCTAGTGACAGGACTCGAGGAATGGCATGAAACTGAGCCAGGAAAGGTTTAGGTATAAGGAAAAGGTTTTCCACCCAGAGGGTGGTTGGGCACTGGAATGGGCTCCCCAGGGAAATGGTCACAGCACCAAGGCTGACAGAGTTCAAGAAGCATTCGGACAATGCTCTCAGGTACATGGTGTAATTCTTGGGGTGTCCTGCATAGGGCCAGGAGTTGGACTCGATACTTGTGGGTCCTTTCCAACTCAGTATATTTTGTGATTCTGTGATTTTCCCTAGTATATTAAAATACGTAAATGTTCTCAACTTTTAAAAAATGAAAAACAAACTTTTTTTTTTAAGGAATACTAATTTTGAGTAAATATAAAAACATTATTTCAAAAATAAAAAAAATGCAGCAACTTCTAAGATGATTTTTATCATATAAGAAGAGTTTGGAGAAGGTGAGATAAACTTACAGTGATAAATCCATGGAATATTTGTAGGACAAAAATTTAACTCAGTAGTAGACCTAACATTTTCAAAGTCTAACCATATTTTATATGTTCACCATAAGCCATGGAAAATCTCCTTTCAGAAGAATTCTGTATGCCTTTGCATTTGACCTGACAATTTCTAAAGCACTGCATATCCCAGATTGCAGAAAAGGCATGACCAGGCACCATTAAAAAGATTTGCTTATTCTCTTTATCACTCTTTATGATGCGTTTTATTTCCAGAGGCTATACTGACTATTCAAGATGCATGTGTTTTTTTATCCCTAAAGCCCTAGATTTTTAATATTTTTGAAATCTTCCACAAAGCTCTAGATTTCAGGCATAGGAATTCACAAAATTTTATCAAGTTAATTTTACTAGTTAAAAATGAATAGTAGTAACACAATGTGTTGATACAGATGTCGAGTGGATTAAATAACAAAAATTTATTTAGTATTGCT